AGGAAGATTAAAGATGGTTAAGATGCGTACATTCTTGAAGAATATATAAACATAACTAATTATAAAACCTCATAAGAAGTTCAAGTGTTGGAAATATTGAAAGTAGAGATCTCCAATGAAGTTTTGTTATTATGGAAAAACAATAGAATCGAAAGAAAAAAGTTGTCGATAACACTTTTGTACATATTTTGAAAGACGAGGATATCAAAATAAATACATCAAATCATATCGATATAAGAAATGATTGACTAAATAAATGGGCACAATCCTAACAAAATTGAATTTACTAGAAAAACCTAAAATTTTTGGATCTACAATTCGAACACCTAAAGATGTATACTTAAGCGAAATGAAAATATAAAAAATGAAATCGTAGCTTGTGATGCGTGACTCTTAACATAATAAATTTTGTAAAGATCACAAGTTCATATCTTGTCATCGTGACGATGCATAAAAATGTAAATTCAAGTATAGCAAACTCATGTGGCTTGACTATTAATGTTATCACTGAATGATTTAATATTCATGATGCGTGTAATGCAAACAATAGTGTCGTAAGGAAAATAAATATGCGTTGTACTCCTTTTTTTTTTTTTTACCAAAGTTTTGTTCCATTAAATTTTCTTGGCAAAGTTTTTAATAAGGCAATTTTTGTAGCGTTACTCAAAAAAATAATATACTCCTTTTCCTTTATTAGAATTTTTTTCTAAGTTTTTCCTAATAAAATTTTAAAGATGTATATTCTTTGTGTAATAATGTCCATAACATATAAGACATTACCCTCGACATAATGTTCTTATACGCTACAAATTGCGTATGACTCTCAAAGAGATTAATAATACAACTTATTTTTTAATAGATCATCATGCTGACTAAAGAAAAAAAAAAAGTAATGATGACATTTTTTGAAGACTATACAAGACAACATGAAACATACTTCACTAGAAATTGCGATATTAAAGATATTGACATACAAGATATGGATGGCTCGATAAAAAAAAACTTTCATTTATTAATATCAAGGAAGCAGATGTATTCTTTTTCTTTCGCTCAAGTTTCAACCCATGGAATTTTTTTGACAGGATTTTAATGAAGCCACATCTTATTACTTCAAATTATTTAATATTTTTGTCTTATCAAGATTTTAGCAAAACAATATTTTTAATTAGTGAGTTGTTTGTATATAGTCATTCAAGAGGGAATGTTATAAATCAAGTAATATTTGTGAATGACTATTAATAGCCTTAATTATTATGACTATTGCATTTCTTGCAGCACTAATTCATTTCTATAAATGTGAGGTTTTAGTTCTTAATAGAACACATATAAGTCTGTTGACTTCTTTACTTTTTTTCTCATTTTCTCTCTATGTTATAAACAAATTTGTTTTTTGTTTCGTAAATTTAAATTTTGCACGCTGTATGTACACAACAATAATACAAATCCACTATTTATTGAAAAAAAATATTACAATTATATCATTATAAATATACACTAATAAATATCTTTAATTGAGAATAAAAAGCTACATCATATGTATTACCTTCTTTATCACTTTACATGCCATTTCTTAATTATTGATATTTCGTTGGAAGTATTTATTATTGATATTTCGTTGAAAGTGTTTAAATACTTCGTTTGACCCTTGCATTCATTATAAAAACAAATAAAAAATTCCAATTCCATGTTCTAGTTAGTACTTTTTCTTCAATGAATATTAAATTTATATAAAATCAAGAAATGCAATTTTTTATATTTGATATTACTTTGTAGCTAAAAATTAATTTATTATTCATTTTAAGTCGGGGTCATCTTGCAAGTAGACGAGGAACCGTTTATAAGACTCAGCTAATGAAAATTAATAAGACTTCGAATTTTCGTACATTCTTCCATTTAAATATCAATACAAGGAGTCGATAATACTTATTTAGACTTGAAGGTTATTGTTCATATTTCATATAATATTTTTTCTTGAATAATGTTAAACATTTCTTGATACATGACTCTATTATATCTCTGTGAAAGATGTGAACATATGAAGATGCACTATATCGCAAGAATATTCGACTAGATCACGTAAAGGATAGAGGTATAAAAGTTTAAATTTATCAAATATTTTAGATCCAAATGCGAAATTAAAACAATTAAAAACAAGAAGTCACTTACAAATTGTTTCTAGATGATTAAGTTAATTAATTCAATTAATTCATATGTTTAAACAATCATAAACATTCAAGTCAAATGCAATAAAA